AAAGGAAAGGAAAGGAAAGGAAAGGAAAGGAAAGGAAAGGAAAGGAAAGGAAAGGAAAGGAAAGGAAAGGAAAGGAAAGGAAAGGGAGTTGTTGGGTTTTGGGTGTGTGTTCTCTTAGTTGAATGTGGATTGTTTAGAGTGAGGATTGTTTGATCTTTAAGAAAGATACGACTTTTGTAAGTAGGAACTGTTTGGTTTTGACCCGATTGCTTGTTATGACGTGGATTTGGATTCTCCTTTTAACTCTGTTTGCCTGATCTTGTAAATAGTTGTATATCATTGTAAATATAGAGGGTTGGGAGAAAGTAAGGAGTTTGACGCCATTTTGTTTATTGTAACCTTTTTGATCTCTGTTTTTTTGGTTAGGGAGTTAGGTTAGTATATTGTATTTTTATTTTATTCTATTTTGTTTAGGAAAGAGGTCTTAAAATAAGGAAGTTTTGTTTATTATTTTGGCCTGGTCAACTCCTGAAGGAAATTCCATATTCATTGATTTATTTTGATGATTGTACTTTTCTTTGTTTGGTTTCATTAAAAACCCTTAAAAGAATCCCCACTTCCTCTCTCTCTTTTCATGTTGCGTCCTTTACCCCTAGACGGGGCGTGCTCAGAGGTTGTTCTTTCATAACTCAGGAGTTGTTTGTTACAACCCTTTGTTTTGCATTTCCTCGTTTCTGTCTCTCTTTTGTTTTGAAAGTGTCTGTATCCAGGTGTGATGCTGATTGGCTCCTGCAGGCTAATGATTGGCCCATCTGGATTGGTGCATTCAAAAAAAAAAGGCACACCTTAAAAGCCCTGATGTCACTTCCTTTCTGCAGAGCAAAGGAAAGGAAAGGAAAGGAAAGGAAAGGAAAGGAAAGGAAAGGAAAGGAAAGGAAAGGAAAGGAAAGGAAAGGAAAGGAAAGGGAGTTGTTGGGTTTTGGGTGTGTGTTCTCTTAGTTGAATGTGGATTGTTTAGAGTGAGGATTGTTTGATCTTTAAGAAAGATACGACTTTTGTAAGTAGGAACTGTTTGGTTTTGACCCGATTGCTTGTTATGACGTGGATTTGGATTCTCCTTTTAACTCTGTTTGCCTGATCTTGTAAATAGTTGTATATCATTGTAAATATAGAGGGTTGGGAGAAAGTAAGGAGTTTGACGCCAGTTTGTTTATTGTAACCTTTTTGATCTCTGTTTTTGGTTAGGGAGTTAGGTTAGTGTATATTGTACTTTTTATTTTTTTTTATTTTGGTTAGGTTTAGGAAAGAGGTCTTAAAATAAGGAAGTTTTGTTTATTATTTTGGCCTGGTCAACCCCTGAAGGAAATTCCCTATTTATTTATTTGATGATTGTATTTTTTATTTTTTTTGGTTTCATTGAAAACCCTCAAAAGAATCCCCGCTTCCTCTCTCTCTTTTCATGTTGCGTCCTTTACCCCTAGATGGGGCGTAACATGAATTGGGGGCTCGTCCGTCCGTTCGGATGAAATTAGAAGCTCGTTCACTCGTCCGTCCGAATGAGATTGAGTATTTGGGTACTCACTGCTTTTGCAGAGTTGTTTTTTCTTGTGTTTGCCTGGTGGTTTTCATCTAGTGTGGGAGGAAGTTTAGGGTTTACTATGACGTTGAAATTTGAACTTGAAAAATTTACGATTGCGCCTACAGAGGAACAGTTTGAAAAGTGTCGGAAGGATGATTTATTGTTAATTGCAGATTTTTTTTATATAGTCATGCCTCGAAATGCGCTTAAGAGGGAGATTAAGGAGGTCTTGCACAAGGAGTTGGTAAAGCAAAGGATCTTACCTGGTGAAACTGAGGTAACGGGTGTTGCAACAAATCCAGTGTTTTCTGATGACTTAGAAGCTTTAGAAATGGAGCTCAAGTCTGACGAGGACATACGCATAGATCCCGATAATCCCTCCAAAAGAGAAAATGCTAGCAATCCGACTAAAGGAGTTAGATGTGGAGTTAGCCCGACAGCGGTACCAGAGTCAGCTTTTGCAGGTCCGAGCGCTGGAGCTTGAGACAAAAAGAGACATCCGGCTGAAAGAGCTGGAAAATGAGCAAAAGTCTGGTCAAACACGGCATCCTTCTTCTCCTGGATTGCAGGGAAATGCTACTCCTGTGCAGGCTGTTACTGCATCCCCTCTTCCCACAGCATTGTATACTTCACCGGTGAGTCAAACTGAATTCGATATTTCCAGACAAATTTCGTTAGTTCCTGCATTTAGAGAAAGTGAAGTCGATACTTATTTCACTGTTGTCGAACGTATCGCTGCTACTTTGCAGTGGCCCAAGAATATTTGGCCTTTACTTTTACAGTGTAAACTAGTGGGTAAAGCGCAGGAGGTATGTTCGGCATTGACTTTAGAACAAAGTCTAGATTACGATGTAATGAAGTCCGCTGTGTTAAGAGCTTATGAGCTTGTTCCAGAAGCCTGTCGACAAAAATTTAGAAAGCATATGAAAACCTCCAGCCAAACTTGTTGAATTTGCCCGAGAAAAGACTATTCTGTTTGAGAAGTGGTGTGCAGCAAGTAAAATCAGCACATTTGAGCAACTTAAGGAGTTAATCCTCGTAGAGGAATTTAAGAATTGCGTGTCTGAAAAGATAGTAGTTAATTTGAATGAGCAAAAAGTGACATCACTCACCGAAGCTGCTATGTTTGCAGATGAATTTGTGCTTACACACAAAATTGTATTTTCTCCTTTACGTTCTTCTCGTCGTGTCACTGAACGTAATCACAATCCTAAAACTGTGATTGGCCAGAATGATGAGCAGGGTCCTGATTCTCGTGAGTGTTTTTACTGTCGTGAGAAGGGTCATTTGATTGCTGTATGTCCTGCGTTACAACGTAAGAACCAGAGGAAAGCACAGAACGCACATAAAAGTGTTGCTTTTGTGCGTAACCCACTCTTCAGAGTCTATGCTTGCGATTTGATCCCACCTTTGAACCATTTGTGTGTGATGGTACAGACTCCTTTTCTGAATTAGACACCGAGCATAAACATGTACGCATTTTGAGAGATACGGGTGCGGCACAGTCGTTCATCTTGACAGATGTACTTCCTTTTTCGACACAGTCCAGCTGTGGTTCAGATGTCCTAGTTCAAGGAATTGAACTTGAGGTAGTTAGGGTTCCGCTCCACGAGATATATTTGCGTTCTCATCCTGTGACTGGGTTAGTTAAAATAGCCGTACAATCTCAGTTGCCACTGAAGGGCATTTCTCTCATCCTTGGTAATGATTTAGCCGGAAGTAGGGTGTCTTGTCTTTCTGAAGTAGTTGATATACCATGTGTATCAAAATGTAATGCGCTATTGACTCAGGAGTTTCCCAAGGTATTTCATTCCTGTGTTGTAACACGAGCACAGGCTCATACGTTTGAAGAAGAACTTGATCTCTCTGACTCATTTATGTGTTCAGATCAGTCAGAGGTGAAGACTAGTTTAGACGTGGAGACCAAATGATGATTTGAACATTTGATGATTTGCCAGGGATGCCCCCTGTCACCGCTCCTTTTTACATTAGCTATTGAACCTTTGGCTAGTGCAGTACAAAGAAATAAAGATATATCAGGGATTACAATTGATGGTCTTGAAAATAAATTAGCTTTATATGCTGATGACATATTATTCCTATCCAATTTAAGTACATCTATACCATGTTTATTGAGCCTAATTAAAACATTTGGATCTTTTTCAGACTATAAAATAAATGAGTTCAAATCTATGATTTTATTTCTTAAAGGATCAGAACATCTTACACCCCCATCCAAACCCCATTTAAAAATGCTCATGAAGGTTTTAAGTATCTTGGCATTAATATCACCCCAGACCTATATAATTTGGCCTCCAGCAATTATAACTACATAACTAAGTTAATCACTGAGTTAATTAATAAACGGTCACTTTTATCGGAGTTTACGTTCAGTGGATACTCTCCAAAATGGCGCCAGGGTGACGCGGAGGAGACGAGTTGTTGAATAAAGTCGTTATTTTTGTATTCTCGTAGCTTCGTAAAATTACGGTTGAACCCCTGATGTCACATGGATTATTTTACCGATCTCCTTGCTGTGTTTCTGGACCTTAAGCGTGGTAATTACATTGCTGTCTATGGGAGGGTCAGAGAACGGTCAGAATTCATCAAAAATATCTTAATTTGTGCATTACTTTACTGAGAAACTACAATCTACTAGCTATGTTCTGCCTTAAGAACAAATAGCACAAATTAAGTACAGAGTTAGTTACAAATTAGTAGTTACTAAGCATCTTGTGTGAACTTTTTTTATGTTCCAGTTTAGAACAACCCACAAGTCAACAACCACCCAGCCCTACCTGTTGTACAGCTCCTGGTCCAGGTCCTTGTCATCTCAAATCACTGACAAGCACCTTCACACTCACACAAACCCCTGGTTTGGAGCACGGAGTATCACTCCACAGTCTGGCCTTGACCTGGAGATTTGGGTCTAAATGCATGATGGCATGCTGGAGACATCTCACCCCAAACATTGTGAACCCTCAAAAAGGAACGTTACAGTACAAAGAGCTGTTTCTATTCTTTTCAGATGAGATGTGGAAATTTATTGAGCTCAGCTGAGATTCCATCAATGTACCAAATGCTTCCAGATGGGTCCTTCGCACCCAAAGTTTTTGAAGGAACCATCCTCTTTTCATGGTTTCAAAATCTACTCTTACCCTTACACTTAAGCAAGCACTCTGAACAACAGAAGTAAATTTAAAGGCAAGGTGCAAACCATCTGCATGCATACTAACCCTCACAGACAGTGTTGCCAGATTGGACGGTTTTGAATTTAATTGTGTGGGTAAAAATTGGCTTGGGCGGGTGGACAAAATTTGGGCTGGTTTGGGGTCAGTTTGACGGTTTTCAAACATATAAATTGCATAGGCTAATTGTTTAACAAACAAGCCCAATTATACATGTACTGCTTCCAGCCAGTCATCACAACGTTACAATATAAGTTAAAGAGTGAGAGAGTGACTCAACTCTCAAAACGTGAATTATTGTGGAGTGAGATGACACTAAAGCTCTATCACTGCAACTCCGAAATCAGAGCACACTTGAATGAATCAAAACCAAAACTAATTATGTCGGTTTATACGATCCTGTCTTTTAACTTTTAAACTGTCCAGATCGATAAATCCTTGAAAACCGCTAGACTTGATTAGTTTGACTGTGCAAAGTTCTGTATTATGTTCTACAATAGGAATTTAACAAGAGGCTTTCTCTAGTTCTGTGTAAAATTATACAGCGACACGAAGGTAAGCGCATTATTGTTGTTTTTATTTTATTTTTTAATTGTCGGATTATAATGCAGTATGTTTCAATGAATGACACCGTTTTGACTGTCATAGTGTGTGCATGAACAAGTGTGAAATACCTGCTAATTACGCTGCTTTTTCCTATTACTTATATTGGGCACGTTTTGCATTTAAATTGGGTTATTCTGACTGCTGACATTGAAAATGATGCATGTGTTGTTTCGAGGATATCGGTTAATTTCTTGATTGCCGTTTTGACATTGTCTGCTTTCATATTTTATTCATGTTCGGTAGCCTAATTCTCTTTAATGTAGGCTATTTGCCCCGATTTGATCCGTTTACCTGGGATATTTATCTAATGTTATATTATTTTGACGTCATTATTTTGTTTCAAGGTTAATAAGGGCCATTTTAACTCCTTAATTTACATATTCCATCACATTATTTTGACAGTTAAAGTTTTGGGCGGTTTTTGGGCGAGTTTTTGTGAGCTTTTGGGCTGGAAATCGTCCATCCAATCTGGCAACACTGCTCACAGAACTTTTTGCAAGAGAACACAAATTTTTCCATGGGGGAAAATATACTTTTCTGAGAAAAAGCAGAAGTTTTGTGAGTGCACGCAAAAGCGCTGACATAGATTTTTTCCTGCCATCTCACTTTATTTCCATCACCACGTCCCCGTATGTGCACTGTACTCAAAGTCACAGCTCACTGTCGTTGTCTTCCAGAGACAGACACAAAGTCACAGATTCTCTGACCTCTTGCTTCACAAGAACACATTTACAGGAGAATCTGGATCATTTTGATTTTATGCAAACAAAATGTGGTCAGTCAGTCTTCTCTCTCATAGACTAATGTGGTGAAAATGTGGAGAAGCTTCGAGAGAAACCTCCCAGCACCATCATGGACAACGTTGTAGTTGCAAGACAGTCCTTCAGGTTCCTGGGCTCTGCCATCTCGCAGGACCTGAAGTGAGAGTTCATTGTGAAAAAGGCCCAGCAGAGATTGTACTTTCTTTACCAAATAAAGTTCAACCTGCCCCAGGAGCTGCTCACCCAATGCTACTCGGCCATCACTGAGTCTGTTCTGTGTTCATCTACAACTAGCTGGTTTGGTTCAGCTACCAAATGAGACATCAGAAGTCTACAGCGGACAATCCAGACTACTGAGAGGATCATTGGCGCTCCCCTGCCCACCCTCTCTCCAGAACACTTGCTCTTTGTGAGTGAGGAAGAGGGCAGGTGAATTCCTCACAGATTCCACTCACACTGGCCACAACCTCTTTGAATTGTTGCTGTCAGACTGGTAGAGATGGGAGAAACAAACCTTTTTCAAAGCTGTGATTCAACTGAACCAACTGCTTTGCAAAATGATACACTGTTTTGAAGCATTAGAAACACCACACTCTGGCGACATCTGCTGGTCAAAACGTTTTGGGCTTTGAGGGTTTAAAATTGTATGCAGTTTTTTCAGTTAGAGGCCCAGAAGATTTAATGTGATGGATTTTATACACACCTTGTCTATGTACACCAGATGCTTCACCGCCACCACAGATGTATGCCCATCATCTACTTAAGGGTGTTTGCAGCACAAGTGTCACAACATTGAGGTGTTATATGGCAGTTGTTGATAACAAATCATCCACCTCACAATGTTGTTTTCCAAGTTCTCAAAATGGTCCCATACAACAGACCAATTAAAACCACAACATTTGGCTTTGTCTTGTTTGGTTTATAGTCAAATCTGACAGGATTTCATGTCACTAGGCATCCTGAGGTCACAGTGCCATCTATCCTGTAAAATACAGTATTGTCCCATATAAAGGTAAAATGATGCGTCCCGTATCAAATCAATGCGCATTCGATTTATCCCGTATTTTACATAGGCTTATGCATAGCTGACTAAACACATATGAATGTTGCTGTGTGGAGAATATTAAAGGGGTCATATGATGTTGCTAAAAAGAACATTATTTGGTGTATTTGGTGTACTGAAATGTGTTTATGTGATTTAAGGTTTAAAAAACACATTATTATCCACATACTGTACATTATTGTTTCTCCTCTATGCCCCGCCTTTCTGAAACGCGTCTATTTTTACAAAGCTCATCGGTCTGAAAAGCAAGGTGTGCTATGATTGGCCAGCAATCCAGTGCGTTGTGATTGGCCGAATACCTCAAGCGTGTGACGGAAATGTTACGCCCCTCACATACTGTTGATGCCGTGTCCGGCCGGAGCGACGAGACATAAACATTAAAACCCATTACAAACGAGGCATTTGTTGCATCCAGTGGGGACATAATTACAGATTATAATGACTTATACTGTCTTTTACGCGTTGCGTTGCAT